ATACTACAATTCACCATTGCTGCTGCCCATAGTAGTGATGTGATATTTAGGCAACTTTAATTATTTTTTAATCTAAATTAATTAATATCACATTATCGATGATCGGTAAGTACCGCTTACGAAAAACAATAATCACGTAAAGTTATAAAATATCCGACCTAAAACACTTAAATTTTCAATTGGATGAATGAACCAATCTTATAGTCAAAATACCACGACTTGCACATGTTTTATATTCTAGGGGTACGTTTGTCAAATCAACGCATGTAACCCTAAAAAAGGTTGAAATGAAAAACGAATGGAAAAAGATAACAATATCGTTGCACATCATCCCATCCCAATAGGGTAGGGTGGAGAATGGGTAGAGAATTGGGAAGGGGTGATCAGCTTGGGTGGAGTACTACTATTTTTTTTCTTTTCTTTTTTATCTTTTTAAAGTGATATATTTTGATTCAACAAAATAAATCCTCAAAAGTATGGAGCATTTGCAAATCAATTATGTGGTTACTCAATAGTAAGAACGACAACCTTCCTTTAAATTGACACGGTGCCTATGTCGAAATGCTGGATAATTAATTTTGATTGAGAACTTAAATATTTTACTTTACAAAGAATGGGAACATTAGCTACAAATTTTTCACCAGTTGGACAAATGTTATTTTTCCTTTACAATCAGATTTCATTAGTATTTTATTGAGAGATCATATTATTTTGGGCAATTATATCCGTCCCACATTTTGTTAGCTTTACTATTTTTTTATTGCAATAGGTCCTCGTATATAAGTCGGGCAAAAAAAAACCAAAAATCAACTAAAATAGTCGAATCAAATCGGGTCAGATCGATTTGAGTTTGTTTGACACACGTAATTGATTTGATTTGATTTTTTTTTTTAAACAAAACCATGATGGATCGGTTCAACAATGATTTAAAATCTCAAACTGTTGGTTAACCAAATCGGCCCAATACACTTACATGCTTACCTTTTTTGATTTTTTTTTAAGAAAAAAGAAATCAAAAGATAAATTCAAATCTTATAACTATATCTCAATTCCCTTCAATTTATGATGTTGTTAGTAAATAATAGTACTAAAAATTTCTTTTCATAATCTATTCAGACATTTAGGCTACATAATGTATAAAAAAAATCAACAAAATTCTTAAGTTTTCTATTAATTTGTCTCTATTCACCTGATTTTATTTATTAGTTGACGATTTTTGTCATATAAAGTTATTTAGTTATTTTAGTTCATGTAATCTAATTGAGTTCAAAACTTGAACATTTTTTTTTAGAAAAAATCAATTTGGACTAAAAGTCTAAACCAACTAACCAAATCGAATAAAATCAAAACAATTCGATTTGGTTTTGATTCGGTTTAAGATTTAAAGTGGGTTGGTTTAAGTTGAAATTCACCCAAACCGACTAATTTGATTTTGGTTTTAAATTGGAGTCGAAATGACCCAAACTAAATCGCGACCAAGCCTACTGGTTTGTACTTATATTTCCATCTTTTTGTCATATTTTATTAATAATTTTTGATCATTAACATATCTAGTCTTTGATTATATTTTGTTTAAATATTTTTGTTAGCGTGCTTTGAAATGAGAGGAAAATAATATTTTGAACTTTTGTATTTGTGTTTTTATTTTGATTATTTAGAAACGCAAGTAAATAAATCTTTTTATCCATCCTAAAGGATTTTTTTTAGACGAAAATAAGATGTGCTAATAAATAAAAAAAATGACCGTAATGCTATATAACACCGTTAATACAAAAACATCACCCAATGTGACATGTGCGAAACTAAATCATATAAATATGGTATTATGGGGTTCTGCTTACACTTTTACATCCCCTCACAATGAGGGGTTCACAAATTTTTTATTCATGTGAGCTCTCTTAGAGGACTGTATTCTATGGCGTACAAATGATTTTATTCAATATTATGAGATCCATTTAATTGAATATCATGTGCTGCCACATGGAAAATTCTCATTCAAAGGAGAATTTCAAATACTCACATGAGGAGTAGGCCTCATATGAGTAAAATAATCTAAAAAATTACCCCCTCATCCTATATTGTACTCTTCATGTGAGTAAAATAATTTAAAAAATTACCCACTCATCCTATGTTGTGTGTATTCTGTAAAGAGTATGTAAAAAAATTTCCTGTACGTCCAGCGGCTTACCCTGCCACATATGATGATGCTTTTACCGTCAATAACGCTATATAGCTTACTCACAAGAGAATCGTTAATAAATAGACATATTGTACTAGTTATGTTATTTCTTTGGACCGATAAACTTCTCTGATGCATTACAAATTGTAGGTGGTATATATAGGTACGATAGACATGGAGTTTGATTATAGAAGTGACACACGTTTCTATATTTGGGCTAATTTGGAATATCATGTTTTTAATAATCGCTAGTTTGAATATAATAAATTTGGTAATTACTACTCTAATATTCTACCAAACCATTCTTATAATAAATATTGAGTGTGATATTCAACACTACTAATGTTTAATACCGGTCTAAGTGATAGCAATTATGTTATTAAATTATAGGTTAAACTAAATATAAGAATTTGTTACTCATTTAGTAGGACGTATGACATGTTGACACTTAGACTGATAGCACTATTAATAAATATTTCCTAAATTTGATGTATTTCTCATACAATTTTAATAATATCCAACCATTACATTCTTTTTCTTGTAAGATAATGTCTTTTGTGTTTATAAGATGTTATTTGTATAAGAGATTTGATTTGTAAAATTATGGATGCATTTTCTCATTCATAGACGAATATATCTATAATATATTAAAATATCACATTAAGGGAGAACAATTTTTTGGACGATTTTAACCCCCTACGATTCAATTATTTCAATAATACCTTACTTTTCATTTTTTGATATATAATAAATACTACAAAATTATTGTTATTTATGAAATTTGTGTTTTTAATTCTCAATTCATTAATATTCACATTAATCTAGATTCAATGAATTTTCACTTGATGAGTTTTGAATTATATGAATCTAAAGTTATTATAGATGAATTTATTCATATTCATATATCTGAAAATTTTAACAAGTGTTTAAATTTATGTATTAACCATTAATTTTTATATATCAAATGTAATATAAAAAGATTGCTCATTTATAATATTTCATGATTATAAAAAATTTGAATCGCAGAAATTGAGTTTTGAGAATACAATTTTCTTCTCTTAAATTTCTATGTTAAATCTTATTTTATTTAGTTCGTCTGAGACTCATCAAATCTTCCAACAAATTGATATCAACTATTACTTTTGGATCACTTATAAAGTACTTTAGAATAATGTGCAATGCACGTTCAACTTTAATTAGTAATTACAAAAGAGAATAATAAAATATCTTGAATAAATATACTTACTAAGCCTAGAATTTACAGCTGATAAAATCTTGTAAAATACAATCTTTTGAATAAGTAAACGGAACAGGTGCTAAAATTAAGGATAATAATCCTCTACTAATTAGATAGAGTAGTGTTATTCAACGTCATAGTATCAAACACCAGTTTATGAGTTAATTATGTGATATTAAATGATAAATTTATTAAATGCAATATCACATGGTTCATTTAATTGAACATATCAAGTGCGATCATCTATAATAGTACTCTAGTATCATTGATGCTAGATAACATTATTCAATTAGACATGTTTTCCAATTAATCTATTGATTAAATCAAAATTCTTGAATATTCTCCCATTGATGCACCAATTTAGCTTTTATTCTAGCACACTACATACACAAGCAAGTGCTCTTTATAGACATTTTCAAGAGACTCTATATTTATAAAGAACATGCATAATAGATATCATATTTAAATTAAATAGTAAATTTTTTATGCACTCCAACAGCGTTCTCTATTTTTTTTTTTCAATGAACATTTATTGATTTATCATTTTATCCCCATATCTTATTTAACATAAGTTCTTTTTTATATGTTAATATCCAATCAATTCAATTGTGATTTGAATAATTTAAATTATAAAATATTAAAATTTGTAATTTATTAAATGAAATCATTGTTAATTAAGAACAGAGTCATTCTTTATTTTAAGAAGTTACAATAAAGAATCTTTTGAAACTTATACTTAAGCATTTGCTCTCTAAAATAAAGACTATTTTGTGTTTAAAATTAGGAGTGATATTATCTCACGCTTTGCTGACAGTCGCAGTGTGGGGGTTCGATTCCTGAGATATGGAATTGAACTCTTTGTAGGCGCAATGTACAGACAACTCTTGTTTCTTAATTTGCTGAAATACATCCCGTGATTTACCTCCCTCACAAAGCTCTAGGGGGACGGGATCCTCAAGATTGGGGTTCAACCTTTTTTTATTTTGTGCTTAAAATTGTAGTCTCTTGAAAATAATTTTAGCTTTGGAACAACCCAAAAATCAAAGGGCATTCCTTTAGCAAATCACTACAACTGAATCTTGATTATTGGCTCAAAAAATTTAGGCATTCAGTGTCACAGGGAGCATGCCAATGAAACTTATAATCCGGGCAAGTTTATCAGACTGTTTGAATTGGCTTATCTTCTACGATTCCAACACAACATGAACAAGTTCACCTAAAATTTTTTTTAGGTATCATTTTTTTGCCTCCGAACATAACCCAGTGGTACAAAAGATAAGAGTAAGGTCATCTCATGCCTTGCTGACAATCGCAGTGTGAAGGTTTGATTCCCGAGACATGAAATTTGACTCTTTGTAGCGCAGTATATAGACAGCTCTTTTTCCCTGACCTGTTGAGATACATTCCGCGATTTACCTTCCTCACAAAATTCTAGGAACGAGGCAATGAGGGTCCTCGAGATTGAGGTTCAACCTTTATTTTATGTATCATTTCAACTTTCATAAGCGAAAATTCTTGTACAACTTACACTAATAACGAGGTCTTTTTAGTTTAGTGCATAGTAGATTCTTGTAAAGAACATACTAAATGGTCAATACTCTGAGCATAACTCATATTTAATTATCATATTACATTAGATGAACTTCACAAAACTGCATATAATTATTGTAGTTTTACTAGCATAGTACAATAATGACCAACAGCTCATAACTGGAAATGGTGCTTCGCCCCACTTCAAGCTCGGCTAACACGAGAAAAAATATATATATTTTAACCTTTTACCTGCTAAGTTTAGTAAAGAATCTAGTCTAAGCTCCGAGTGTCTGGAATCTTGCTGATAATGCAGTTTTGTAGTGTTTGAAACTCGTCTTACCATTGCAGCTTCTTCGTATTCGTGAAGAAATCTTAGCTAACGCTTCCTCCCTTTGGGGGCGGTTGGCATATAGTATCCACAGAGCAAGACTAAGCATGACCCCTACTGAGATAAGGGCCAGTCCGGCATTTACAATCTGAAGAGAGTGCTTTAATGGAGGACAGTAGAACAAAGTGATTTCTCGGAATGTATCGCGTACAAAATCACAGTTCTGGAGACTCAGTAGTAGCGGGGTATAATGTTCAAGAGCATAACTAATGTTTAGCGCAGCCACCAACTCCCAGTACATTTGTGGAGTCAATCTTCCAACACTGCTGCAGAATCCAGAAGCTGACACGTTGCAAGTATAATTCTGCCAAACCTGCATCCACAAAAATAAAAAGAATAGGTAAAATTTCCGCAAAGAATATTTCTCCTTCAACAAATATTTTCTTCCTCATGGAAAAAATGTCAGAAAACAAGGGGAAAGAGGAATAAAAAAACCGAGAACTCGAAGCCCCAGATAAAAGCAAAAATGTTGCTGAGTAGCTTTGCGAATTTGGTCAAAGACCATGCACATAACCAACTTGACTGATGAAACTTGTTCAAAATAAAGAAGCACAAAACTTGGTATGATTTGATTACTAACCAGTGCTATAATTTCAAAATCAGAGTTAAAGTGGAAAGATCTATTAGTCAAAATCATCCTATATGCAATCCTGAGGGGATAGCTCAATGATCAGGCTTTGTGTTTGTTCTCCAATATTCACCGATTTGATTCCCCTCAGGACCACTGAGGTGAGTACCCGACTGTAAACTTCAGGGCCCTATGGAATTAGTCGAGGTGCACATAAATTGACCAAATACCCACGGTCAAAAAAAAAAAGAAGGGAAAATCATCCTATATGCATTAATGCATTTCACAAAGATGCCATTTCCATTCTTTCAACTACAGGTGATCCATACATGACATTACTATCCGTACCTTTTCTGGCATATCATTCCTTAACATAAACAGTCAATTTCAACTTGAAATATTAGATGTTTTCCAAGAAGTCATGAGATACGAAGTTAGACTGCATACCAAGGAAGCATTTGCCATTGTAACTTCTTCAGCTGTACACTGGCGATCTTGCAGTTGTGAGTCGTAAGGATAGCAGAGATGAGGAATTGCTGGGCCCGATTGATTGAAATAATAAGGAACTGCCTGGGGAGGCGGGTTTGCATTGGCAGCAGAGTCTATGTATTGATTGACAATATTGACAATATCATTGATCACTTGTTTACTCTTAAATAATGTCTGGTTTGTGGTTCTTTGGTCCACACAAGGAAGGATATTGCTAAGAGCAGTTTCTGCACGAGGATTTTCCACCCATTCTCCCATGGCCATGCAAGTGTCGGAAATTGCACTATGATATAAAAAATCAACAAGTTCAGTAAACAAGAAAGCTTTTCTATTAAACAATAAGGTGTCTATTCTATCACAACACATGAATTCCTTCGGATCACCCAATGCTCAGGAATTCAAATTATCAGAAATTTTAATTACTTACATTTTGAACCTTTTTTTCAGACACAGGGAAACTAGTGAACTCGCATGTTAATGAAATCCATAGAAGAGTTATCGTTAGCAATAATACTCTTACTGATCTATTAACAAGTAGTTACATGCCGGGATTATACGTGCATATTTTTGGATGATCATAATGGATACCTGACCAAATTTTCTTATGTGTTGCCGGTTCATGAAATTTAAGAACTCAAATCAATTTTAGAAAATGAGAGTCCGTATTATACAAATAGTGAAATTTGAGAATTCTAGCTTCATTTCGGCCAAAAAAAATGGAATTTAGATCTTTAAGAAGATTATTTTATTTATTTATTTATTTTTTCTATGGAGCCTTTAAGAAGAAAATTTAAACACATGGGGATTATGCTCCCCTTGGTTATTCAATATTGCCTATCTTTCTACTATTTCCCTGATATGAAGGACATGGTTGAAAGAGCATTACAAAGAGCAACTTGAATGTAAAAGCCCAAAGTATGAAAAAAAGAAGCATAAAGTGATTTAATGCAAATAAAATAGTTATTACATAGAAAACACATAAAAAAGAACCAGAAGTTCAGCTACAAATAATGATCATTTGAAGATTTGCAGTCAAGCCCAATGTAAGAAAACAGATTTCATCTAGTGTACGAATAATTTACCAACAAAATGTGCAGCATAAAAAATAAATGCGGTTCATGTCAAACTAAAGAATCTCACTTGTTTAGGATGACAAAAACTCCGCACAGGATAAAGGTTACTGCCACAAGTAACCATCCGCTAATAATGAATCTGCATCGATATGATGAATTGTCAGAAAATCGAGGAGTGAACTACCAAAAAGGCAATTTTGTTAAAACTAGAATAATCATCAGCTCTAACAAAAATTAAATAAATGGAACTACCAACTAAATGACCTTAAAGAGAGAACTTACACATATATTGCGTGTTGATGAAGTAGATTCTTGTAAAGAACATACTAAATGGTCAATACTCTGAGCATAACTCATATTTAATTATCATATTACATTAGATGAACTTCACAAAACTGCATATAATTATTGTAGTTTTACTAGCATAGTACAATAATGACCAACAGCTCATAACTGGAAATGGTGCTTCGCCCCACTTCAAGCTCGGCTAACACGAGAAAAAATATATATATTTTAACCTTTTACCTGCTAAGTTTAGTAAAGAATCTAGTCTAAGCTCCGAGTGTCTGGAATCTTGCTGATAATGCAGTTTTGTAGTGTTTGAAACTCGTCTTACCATTGCAGCTTCTTCGTATTCGTGAAGAAATCTTAGCTAACGCTTCCTCCCTTTGGGGGCGGTTGGCATATAGTATCCACAGAGCAAGACTAAGCATGACCCCTACTGAGATAAGGGCCAGTCCGGCATTTACAATCTGAAGAGAGTGCTTTAATGGAGGACAGTAGAACAAAGTGATTTCTCGGAATGTATCGCGTACAAAATCACAGTTCTGGAGACTCAGTAGTAGCGGGGTATAATGTTCAAGAGCATAACTAATGTTTAGCGCAGCCACCAACTCCCAGTACATTTGTGGAGTCAATCTTCCAACACTGCTGCAGAATCCAGAAGCTGACACGTTGCAAGTATAATTCTGCCAAACCTGCATCCACAAAAATAAAAAGAATAGGTAAAATTTCCGCAAAGAATATTTCTCCTTCAACAAATATTTTCTTCCTCATGGAAAAAATGTCAGAAAACAAGGGGAAAGAGGAATAAAAAAACCGAGAACTCGAAGCCCCAGATAAAAGCAAAAATGTTGCTGAGTAGCTTTGCGAATTTGGTCAAAGACCATGCACATAACCAACTTGACTGATGAAACTTGTTCAAAATAAAGAAGCACAAAACTTGGTATGATTTGATTACTAACCAGTGCTATAATTTCAAAATCAGAGTTAAAGTGGAAAGATCTATTAGTCAAAATCATCCTACATGCAATCCTGAGGGGATAGCTCAATGATCAGGCTTTGTGTTTGTTCTCCAATATTCACCGATTTGATTCCCCTCAGGACCACTGAGGTGAGTACCCGACTGTAAACTTCAGGGCCCTATGGAATTAGTCGAGGTGCACATAAATTGACCAAATACCCACGGTCAAAAAAAAAAAGAAGGGAAAATCATCCTATATGCATTAATGCATTTCACAAAGATGCCATTTCCATTCTTTCAACTACAGGTGATCCATACATGACATTACTATCCGTACCTTTTCTGGCATATCATTCCTTAACATAAACAGTCAATTTCAACTTGAAATATTAGATGTTTTCCAAGAAGTCATGAGATACGAAGTTAGACTGCATACCAAGGAAGCATTTGCCATTGTAACTTCTTCAGCTGTACACTGGCGATCTTGCAGTTGTGAGTCGTAAGGATAGCAGAGATGAGGAATTGCTGGGCCCGATTGATTGAAATAATAAGGAACTGCCTGGGGAGGCGGGTTTGCATTGGCAGCAGAGTCTATGTATTGATTGACAATATTGACAATATCATTGATCACTTGTTTACTCTTAAATAATGTCTGGTTTGTGGTTCTTTGGTCCACACAAGGAAGGATATTGCTAAGAGCAGTTTCTGCACGAGGATTTTCCACCCATTCTCCCATGGCCATGCAAGTGTCGGAAATTGCACTATGATATAAAAAATCAACAAGTTCAGTAAACAAGAAAGCTTTTCTATTAAACAATAAGGTGTCTATTCTATCACAACACATGAATTCCTTCGGATCACCCAATGCTCAGGAATTCAAATTATCAGAAATTTTAATTACTTACATTTTGAACCTTTTTTTCAGACACAGGGAAACTAGTGAACTCGCATGTTAATGAAATCCATAGAAGAGTTATCGTTAGCAATAATACTCTTACTGATCTATTAACAAGTAGTTACATGCCGGGATTATACGTGCATATTTTTGGATGATCATAATGGATACCTGACCAAATTTTCTTATGTGTTGCCGGTTCATGAAATTTAAGAACTCAAATCAATTTTAGAAAATGAGAGTCCGTATTATACAAATAGTGAAATTTGAGAATTCTAGCTTCATTTCGGCCAAAAAAAAAGGAATTTAGATCTTTAAGAAGATTATTTTATTTTATTTTATTTTTTTTTCTATGGAGCCTTTAAGAAGAAAATTTAAACACATGGGGATTATGCTCCCCTTGGTTATTCAATATTGCCTATCTTTCTACTATTTCCCTGATATGAAGGACATGGTTGAAAGAGCATTACAAAGAGCAACTTGAATGTAAAAGCCCAAAGTATGAAAAAAAGAAGCATAAAGTGATTTAATGCAAATAAAATAGTTATTACATAGAAAACACATAAAAAAGAACCAGAAGTTCAGCTACAAATAATGATCATTTGAAGATTTGCAGTCAAGCCCAATGTAAGAAAACAGATTTCATCTAGTATACGAATAATTTACCAACAAAATGTGCAGCATAAAAAATAAATGCGGTTCATGTCAAACTAAAGAATCTCACTTGTTTAGGATGACAAAAACTCCGCACAGGATAAAGGTTACTGCCACAAGTAACCATCCGCTAATAATGAATCTGCATCGATATGATGAATTGTCAGAAAATCGAGGAGTGAACTACCAAAAAGGCAATTTTGTTAAAACTAGAATAATCATCAGCTCTAACAAAAATTAAATAAATGGAACTACCAACTAAATGACCTTAAAGAGAGAACTTACACATATATTGCGTGTTGATGACCTAGGATAGACAGAACTGCACCAAAATAAACAATCAGCAACAGAAAACACATTATTTTAGTTAAAGAATAAGATATTATCTGACAATGCATACCGAGGCCCAGAAGAGAGATGAGAAGCATCACTGTAGCAACAGCGATAAGTGCTGATCTCCTGCAACAATGCATTTGGTTATTGACATTATATTATGAATGAATGAATCAAAATTCATTAAAATGCAATCAAGGTACAAATAACCATACACAGTATTGAAGACGCGTCGCGTTTTACTTGAGTTTTCATTTGTCTTCAGCTCCAATGTATTTGCTGCAGTATTCAGGTCCACATTTAACCTGTCAATATCTTTCATTACATCTGAAGGAAGGAAAATTTGGGCCACACTGACAGTTTTAGCAAGTGACAAATATGTGGTCACATTCCTTAGCGTCTGCACTGTGTAGTCTGATTGATTTACGACATAATTGAGAGTATGTAATGCTTCACCATGAAAATCGTCCTGCCCAACAGAAAGAAGAATACATCCAATCCTGGTGACAAAAAAAAAAAANGGAGATAAAATTCAAATACACCATAATCGTAGATAATATTAATTGAGAAAGATTATAGTCGAAAACCACTTAAGAATTAAGGAGGATACATTGAACCATAGAGACAATAATGACGAAAGCTATGAGTTTAGGCTTTACGCTGCAGCACTTGTAAAGATAATAAGCATTATCAGACAAATCCTCAGAGACCAGCTTGATTCTTTTCCTTTCATGTTTATTTTCCATCCACATAGATGATGCACCACAAGAGCCAGCCCAAAAGAAACAAACCATATGACTGCAAGAATAAAAGCTCCTGCACCTGTAAATCCAACAGACTGAACACGATGGTTAAAATCATGATGAAAATACATTATGCAAGATTCTTATCTTTGTCATGAAATGCAATGAACATTTGACCACAGTAGAATTTAAACAGAGAAAACCCACAGACTTGGGTAGATATTCAAGACATCAGAATTTGAAACAACATGCCCTGTGTTCCACCTAAGAAAACAATTACATTTCAATGAACATCAAGCTTAATAAGCCACAAACTTCCAAAAAGTAGCTTTACAACATGCCTTATTATATATCTCACGGACATTTCTTGCATATAGGTTACTTTTCCAATGAGTTACACATTTGCTTTACAGAATTACTAAAAGCATAGGCTTTGTCATTTTCTAGAACAAAAACCATTTTCCAATTACATATACATACATACATATATATATATATATATATATATATGTATATTTTTTTTTAAGTGAATATTTGTGATAGAATGGATGGGCACTGAATACAACAAGAATACTCTATCGACGCGAACTTATAGGGCCATATATCTTCTGAAAAGTTACATGGTCCTAGTAAGACACGAATGAATAACCTCAACATTCAAAAAGAAGGAACAGGGGGGAGCAACATGCTGAGGTGATGAATAAAAAATGCATCCCTCAATTCTTAATTTCATCTGTCAGATATCACACAATTAATTCCTGAAAACAATTTCAAAACAATCCCTAGAATAACCATCACATTAACAGAAAATGCATATCAATATCATATCTGGTTATACATTTATTAGATAAAAAATAATAATAATAATAATAATAATAATAATAATAATAATAATTGATGGTAAAGGCAAGAGAATAGAGCTTACAGCCCAGTAATGTTTGTTGGCAATATCCCATCCACCTCTGTACTTGTGAAAACCAGAAAGAATGTCAGGCCTCTTTGTCCTGTTCTTTGCCAATACAAGCGTGCTAACAAGGCTGGCAGGGCCTGGAGCTTCGGCAGTAGAACTCAGTATTTCATCCTTCCATGACCCCATATTTTGGTCTCCTACATGAATGTTTCATATGATTCCAAAAAAAAATAATAATAATAATAAATAAATAAATAAAATACATTTTTTGAATCATTTAAAATTAACAAACCATAGAATAGGATCACTAAATCACTCCTTCAAGGATATAAAAATCAGATCTTGAATTACTAAATCAAGTACAGAATAATACTGCCCCAAGTTTTCCATTTTTCCAAGAACAATAACTGCCATTATAAAGGAAGACCATCAAAATTTTCACAGCCCAAACTAACATAATTACCGCATCCCATTAAAATTTTAGCCTCGATGATCATCACAAACAAACAAAACAAAACAAAACCAAAAAAAATCCAAGTAGCCGTATATCACCAAGAAAAAGATGGAAGCCCAGTTGCCAAAAATACCAAGAAAAACATAAGTAAATCCAAGAACTTGCTATTATTACATCAATAAGCCAAACATCAGCAAGAAAAACACGATTTAATTCAATTATCAAGAATCACGAAAAGTTACTGAACCAAACCTAAGATGGACTTAAAGGGATCTCTGGAGTGGGAATGAGCAGTGCTGGAGCTCAAGAGCACAGAGAGAGCAATAAAGGCAACAAACAAAAACAAAAGGGCCCTATTTTCCATCTTCTAGCAGCAAATCTCACTGTAGGAATTGCACAGAAAGACACTGCAGGATCAGGAGACACCCCTCCTGATTAATATCACATGTCTCGTACTCTCTTATGACTCAAGAATTTAAAGGGTCTTCTGTTCATAACTTTTTGTTTGTCATTTACTTGTTCCGAAGGTTTGGTTTCACAAAAGCAGAAAATCTCAGTGAGACCCAGATACACAAAGATCTTTTTCTTTTTGACGAGCGTATACCCAAAATCTCCACCAATAGAAATATATATACATGAATTGTGTTTATATGGTACTTATATGGAGAGGTGCCATTGGTGTTGGGGGTGGGGTGGGGGTGGGTTACGACGGAAAATGGCGGGTGTGAACGTACTGATGGGGTGAGTGATGAATGAGTAAAGCTAAAAGCAAAAAGTGCAACTATGGATACCATTTGCACTTGGAGATTTGCCCTTTTTCACATCTCTAATTTAGAGCAAATTTTTAGTATTTTCAAAATATGAAACTCAATATTTTTATTTTATTTTATTTTATTTTATTTTATCTAATTTGATATGTGTTATTACAAAATGTTAAGAAGCACTAAAGAATTCGAGATTACTAGAAATCTTTTCCTATTTTTTATTGGATTTGTTTAATATAGTTGGATGTAATTTAAAATCGTTTAAAAATATTAACTAATTAATTAAAGATCCTAAAATACCATAGAAAAATATTCTTATACTTTATAAATATTGTGTGCAGTGATTCGAATCTGATCTTAATTAAATCAAACTAGCTAGTGCAACTCAATTTAATTTCCTTTAAAATTGATATGATTTTATATCCTAAAATCAATAATCTAACGTTCTCATCCAGTTGTCAGTTTTAAGCTTCCCGTTTCAAAATTACTTCTATATAATCGTTCAATTTAATCATAATTATATAAAATTACATGAATTATTATATCTATAATAATTAAAACTTTAGTCGTCAAAAATAGAAAGCATGAAAGAGAATCGAAAAAATTTACAAAGCAATTTATACTTTATAATCAACTTATGAGTTGTAAAATTATTGAAATGAATCATACTAGAATTGATGTTTTATAGTTCAATCGAGTTCCTTTTTTGTCAATGACGTATATAAATAAAATTAATTTATAAAATATTTGGCCCCGCTAAAAAATTACTTACTTAAAAAAAAAAAAAAGTTTGCAAGTGAAAATGTGAATTTGGATGAAATTCTCGATGCTCCTCATCATGTTACTTTAGGATTTAACCCCTTTCTTGTGGCCCCCACTACAAAAGAGTCTGGGTATTTTTTTTTTTTGAGATAAATAACGGGTCCATTGGGAGAATAATTTTCTTTAATAGGTAAATGGAAGTACAATCGTGCTATACAAATATCGAGTTTGACATCGGGGATGATCGCATACACACACATACGAGGTCAGACCTTATTTAATTCACGCGGGACCCACGTATCCATATAAGTGTGTGGTTATCGGTGCGATCATCCTCACGGGTCGTTTGGCTTTATCCATGTATGAAACATGATTTATTTTATTATTATTTTTTTTTTTTTATGGAGTGAGTGGGAAATGAGCAGGAATGGTTGGAAAAAAGAGAGGCAATTGTTATGGTGTAATTAATTATTTATTAATCAAATTAATTAACAAAAATTAGTTAATTAACCTACTATCTATAGAAAAATGGCCACGTTTAGTAAGCAATTAAATGTGAATTAGGTACACCATAACAGTCAAAAGTGGTTTATTAAAGGAGACCCCAACTTGAGATTCTTCATGATTTGTTTGCAACTAATTGATGGGAATGTTGATGCCAATTTAAGTACATGCTTTAATTATCATAATCTCTTATTTAACACAATCGAGATGATTATAATCAAAATTATATTTTCGATTTTTTTATAAATTCCCCAAACGCATGGATATTTTCCAATTGTTAATTTTTTCTCATGTTTTGATAAAATTCACGTGTTAAGTTAAAAGGCTCGTAATTTACATTCAAAACTATTGTTTGATTAGTATTATCGGGAATTTCATTTCACAAGAAAATAAACAAATCCAAACATTTACGTTTTCATAAAAGTTAATTCGAGAATTCAAGCGAACTCGAACTAATGGGCGATGACCGTTACTTAATCAAGATTGGAACACACCAAGATGCTCAAGGTACAAAATTGTATTTTTTTCCCCTTAAAAATATTGAGAAAATTAATAATAGAGGGGAGTCTCAATTAATTGTTGAAGGGTTCGGTTACACGTACACGAGTGTACACGCCCCCTCACATGGAAGGTCGGTCGGAAGCATTTATTGGGTGTGGGGCCCCTTTCAATGTGAGGGGCGTGTACACTTTGGGTACAAATGGCTTTTTCCATTGTTGAAAAAAATTGACAGATCAAAGCGTACGCTCTTATCTTATATGATGGAGTTGTTCCAAGTGACACCAAAAGAAAGTTCGGTTGGTATCTGCTATGTTTATTATTATGCAAAATAAACAATAAAGCAGGTGAAAATGAAACTATTCTTTACAAGTATTTTTTTAATAAACCAAACAGCTATTTAATAGTAAAGTATTTTAATAATCCAAACAGGCGTTACAAATAATTGTCGAAGGACTGAAGGTCTTTCCTTGGAGCCAGGGGCAGAGCCGGAAGAATAAGGTTGTCGGGGCAAAATTCATAAAATTTTAATTGTGGGGCAAAATTGAAAATTATAAGAATTTTTTTTTTTTTTTATTAAATCTTGAAAAATCTTTTGCAAAATCTTGGATTCCAAAATTTTCCCATTGTAGATCTGCCCATGCTTGGAGCTTGTTTGGCTTTGCTTCTGTCTAAAAAAGAAGCGGCTTTTGTGTGTGTGAAATTTAGCAATATAATTGCGAAAAGAGGAATGTATTTTTTTTTAACTACTTTAAAAGTTGAAAATCTGGAAAAATATTGATTTTCATATTAATCATCCTATTAAAATTAATTAGTTACGAAAATACAATTTTTGTCCAGTAGTTCATCTATATGTCAAAACTAACTCATAGAATGATCAATGTATCATAACTTATGAACGTGTATGAGTCAATTTACAAATTCCAAATTTTTTGTGATCAATATATCGGAACTTACTTACGAATGTGTAAAAATCAATTTACAAATTTCATTTTTTTTTTTTTTAAATGGCTTATGACCTAATGGGCGAGGAAAGTCGAGTCAATTTGCAAGATGCTCGTCCCATTAATTTTTTTTTGTTGAAAGAATTAAAATATTATTTTTGTTGTGGATTTTAGATTAAGGGGGTGTTTGGGAGTAATTTTTTTACCGTTATTTCATTATTTCAGTCGTAATTTTTTACTTCTTCTTTCACAGGTAGCCCCCACTTTTCTCTTAACGGTCCAAAAATCAATTCTCAAAATTCCTATCGAACATAGCTTAAGACTACCAAATGGCTAATGTCTTCATATAAATTTTTTTTTTTTTTGATATCCAAGTATCCCAACTTATACTAAACTAAATCCTGAACCTCCAAAACCCTTGCCCCTAGAACCTTGGAGGGGGTAAATCGCGAGTTATGCCTCAATTGGATCACAGGTTCCCCTCATTGTCTGTACACTTCTGCGCACAAGAGACCTTCCTCCACAGTGATTGCTTCATACCAAATATTTGGCCGCAGGTTCCCACCAAGAATCGAACTCTCCACCCTGCCGCTGGAAGCAAGATAATGTTGATTGATCCACCAGTTGAACTGTGTCCTGAGGGTCAAAACTTTTATCGAGTGTCATAATTGCTCCTTTATAATAATAGTTTTTTAATGCTTATTTGGGCGTACTAGTTAGTCATACACTAGTTAGATGGATCTTTATCGTGCTAGAGGCCTTATTGCCAAGTTGGTTAACTTATAATTCTCTATTTCACATGGGGTAACTATTCCTTGTTTCAGTCAATTCTCTCTGGCTTTTGATCTTGTCAAGTTTGATTTGTCGGGCCTTCATTTGTGCTAATGTCATCTTCGCGTGTAATGAACAATTTGTAATTTTTATTGATGATTATGCAAAATATTATTTAATTTATAGGTTGAAGATCCTTACTTTTACCAAAAGGGCAAAAGAAAGTTTATATTCAACTTTGCCCTACACGTTACTCTTGTGCAATAAGGTGACTTGATAATAAAAAAAGAAAGAATAAGATCGATTGGGAAAACTAAAAAATGCACGTAACGCTGAAGTCGCTATCAATTTCTTTCATTTTCATGGCCGAAAGCAAAAGCGGGCTTTATTTACGATACCTTTCATTTTTTCTTCTCCTTTGGTGGCGCCGTATGTTGATTATTGATCTTAAACAAAATTATTTATTCAATATGTTTGCATCAGCCATCAAGTGGCACGTGAAAATTATTTGTGTATGCAATAAAATAAAATATTTTTTATTATGTTGGATCTTTCTACACACAAGGTAGCACATTTGTTTTATTTTTAAAATACATAAAAATTCATTTATTTGAGCTCTATACATGTGCAAGCCAATTACCCTCAAGAGGTAAGTATTCCTTTTCACTTATCCTTTAACTCAGTAATTTTTATTCTGTTATAGTGACTTGATTGTTGAAGTACAAATGATAGTCAAGCTTTTTTTGGGAACAATGGCCCTTTGTCGCACGTTATGTTAAGTGATATACAAATGAACGAGAAGGTGTCGAGATTTGTTGATAATTTGATCGTACCATATTCTGAGATTAATCATTATAATTTATAAAAAGTTATGTGTCGAGTAAATTAAGTTTGTAAGCATTGAAGATGTATAAATAACTCAACAATCTGACCCTACCTCCGACTCTTTGTTGACTATTCTTTCAGAGCATATTTAGTCCTTATTTGACCTTTATTTCTTAATGCTCATTTTATTTTAAACTCATTTTTTAAGAATACATTTCATAGAATTCGTATTTTTTTTCATCAACTTTTCAATTATATTTTTATTAAAATTTACTAAAAATTTAATTTTAATCCAAACCAAACAGGAAGTTAGTACACCAGACCCCTTTAAACTAGGTATTGGATAAGTAAGCTTTTTTTCTTTTGAATTTGGATAATTAAGCTTGTTAATAAAATCATATGGATAAAATAATGAAAAATTATACAGACGGCCGACGGGTGAAGAAACCTAAATGGGTACGTAATACAAAGAAATAGGACTTTTTTTCTGCTTTATTTGTTGGGAATAACATTTCCAAATAAGAGGAAAGGAGAATAAATAAAAGAATAGAATCAAGTATTTCAAAGAAAAATTCAAAGGCTTAATTACATAATTGTTGTCCT